CGTTTATTTTTTCCGCATAAAACTTGGAATCACGCTTCAAGCATTAATCGGTGTGCATAATTCAGTCACTTGGTTAGATTTGAACATGAAGTAAACTGCAATTTGGGTTCTTTTCCAAACAACTCTATTCACTTATTCAAAAGGAAAAAAATACCGGTCAAATCCATCTGAACTTTCAGCATAGATGTATGCAAGGCTTTAATGCCTATATTAGAAAGAGGAATGTAGTGTCGTGTAAACCACTCATCGACTCGCATAAAGCCACTTTTCAGGTCATGCCTCTGAAAGTGGCTTTCGCACTTCACCTCACTCTGTATCAAAGTAATTATCATGTTCTCCTCAGAACCTTAAATTTTATTTGGCTAATCCTGAAAACAAAAGGTTCAAACAATCCTTCCTAGTGAACAAAAGACAACCAGAATTAACTAACTAGAGTAAATAACGAAATTTTTTTCATATATAAAACCAAGAAATGTAACAGTCAAACTGCCGTGTAAACTATTATTCCGCAGTTAAAAATTAAAGGAGGCATAGGCTAAGTATAGATTTGTTTCCAGGGATGGCAATGTTTTAAAAGGGTTCTTAATTTACGTTGAGACTCCGCAGAACACGAAGAGAAAACCAAGGAATTCCCGTAATTTCTGTGAAGCATCCTACATGATCATGGAAAAAGTAGATCCGCACTAGAACAGACTGATACGCCGGTGTTTTCCGTGAATGTGGATTATCCTCATCAGAGACGTTTCAGAGACGCTTTTCAGCAAGATGTTTTCGGCATTTTTATGGAATCAATTCACCCTCTGACTTTAGCCAACTGACTGTCTGAAGAGATAAAAGCCCGGAACAGTCGATGTATCCTCACACACGTGCTCAGTTCAGCTCAGTTGGTTGAGAGGAATAGGCTATAGCCCTTGGGTGTTTTTTGTAATGTATAGAAAAAACCATGTAGGCTTCAACAGTTGAACGGGGACTATAAAAATACAACGGTCTTATCGTAAGTCATGGGTGTTATTTTCAATATTTCATCGCCTCGGCCATTTTGGTCCATAGGTCTGTCAAAGTTTCTCGTAAAACATCCTTACGGTGGCAAAATCGTTAAACTTTTACCAGTGACAGAAAGAGAGAACTTATATACTTCCAAACTTACCTCATGATAATGCATCTTTAATGGGTCTCCTCAAAGACTGGTCGCGGCTCGGCCAGCAAATGGATTGCCTAAAAGCGAATAAGCATTTCAGACTGCCAGACTAAGCAGCGTCACTCAGAGCCGGGGAAGAGCAGGGGAACAGGAAAGGAAGGTGTGTTTCCGCCCATGACGTTTCAACCTCATCTACGAGTCACGGGCAGCTTAGAAACGGCGCGATTATCCAGCATTTGTTTGGGACACCTCTCACAGTGAGCGGGGGAGCAGTGCTACCCCTAAATAGGACTGCCTAGCCATCTCATGCGGTTGCCGAATCCCACCACCTAGGACCATGACTTTTTTAGTGAGAAGACGACCCGATTTAACCTGAGCCGCCCACGGGATTGCATGTCGGCCACCACGTAGGACATCGCGGTCACAATAAAGGATCCCCAGATATTTGTTAGGCGAGTTTCGTAAGGCAAGGTGCTTTGACTCTTAACTACTCTGGTGGCCCGGTTTTTTGATCGTGGACTACCCACGGTTTCCCGACTCGAATTGCGTCAAAGACCACAAAGAAAAGGTCGTCATAAAAGTCCGTAATAGCTTCCTTAATAGCGTGAAACACATACATGGCACTTCTTGCCACTCAAGCAATCGGTTGGCGATTTTAAGGAGTTCGTCACCGGCACATCACAGTTCTTTTTAGCCTGCCCATCTGGCTGGGCTGCCCAGCCGATATATAATATGCTAAACTATCCGACGTTGAACCGCAGAGGCCAACGATTTGATCTAACCAATGCATCAGGGGTACACGTAGGTAATGTCTTTTTGCGGTCTTAATTTGAATGTCAACTATTAAGTGCGTGTGTCTGCTCCGTCGGAAGTATGTGGTTTAGTAAACTAGTTAGATTCTGTTTTTGATACCGGACATCATAAAATGGGAGACATAAAGCTGACGGTAGTCTAGTTGGCATTTTAGGATATATTAATTTCGCAAGAGAAACGATGCAACAGCGGCCACAAGAACAATTTCTGTTGTTCATTCAAACGCTCATAATATCCGCAAATGCCGGCCTGAGTACGCGAAATTCCAATCTGGCCATTTCGATCTCTTCATTGTTTATCGACCAGGAGGACCAATAATGCTAGATAATGACTTTCAGCGCTCAATATTACAAAAAAAGTCTCATCAGAAGATATCAGAATAACCAAAGTAAACATCGTACACTGCTGAGATCTACTTTTAACAGATGAGGGAGACCAGTAGATGAGGAATCTGAGTCCCATGTCAATTTTCGATAGAGTCAAGATGACACCCAATGAAACCCGTTCCGCGTCCAATTTCCTTGAAGATGAAAAGTGGGTTTTTTACGTTTATGACAAGTGTCAACACCAATTGCTTTCCACTTGCCGGACGCCAGCTTCTTTGCCGAAATCTGGCCAGTACCTCGAGAAAGCTTTGCTGCGTTTTTGATGTAGCATGGTCTAAATAGTCCACTTTGACTACTGAAACAGCAGACCTCTCTTGTCAGCAGTTAAAACTTTTGGACCTGACTCTTGCTGTTAATGATTCAGCGCTAATCAAAGAAAAAGGCGTCACTTAGCTGCATAACAACGCGAGATCGTATTCGGGTAGACAGATGCACAACAAGATCCAAGAGTTAAGTTAGGAACTTCCGTCCCATCTACCCCATTTGCGGATCGTACGTCAACTAACTATAACTTTTTCAGATCTCTGTAGCACTTTTTGGAAAAAAAATTCTCGAAAATTCGACAAGGCCAAAACTGGGTTCTCAGAATTGTTTTTATTAAGGTAGATTTTTTTCATAACAAATGAACTAAAAGCTTAGTCCCAATACGGGTAACAGTGATTGAAAGCAATGACGATTATGTAACTGATTAGAGATAAAACGTTTCCCGATACGAAAAGTGTTCTTGCTATTTGTTCAATGAACCACGTTGCTAACGAATACCCCTAGTGGTTGGACCTGAATTCCACCTCTGTCGGCAGGACTCCGGACTAAAATTAAAATTTTCATATTGTTAGTAAATATTGCTGATTCGCAGCCCAAAAGCCTTGTAGAAACTTCAAAGCATCTTAGGAACAAATAAATCCCGGAGAAACTCACTCTCGAACGCTGAAAGATTTGACTTCTCTTAGCCGAGGGAACAACATCTTGCCGACCTGATAGTTTGAGCATCATGATCGAGTGTTCCACTGCATGGTGACAGCAGGGACGGTAACCTGCGCGTAGTTATTTTAGACTTGCGATGCATCTACCGCACCCTGTCCTCCTCGCATACCCGTGACATAATCATGAACAACGGAGGTTGGAGAGGACGTAGATAGCTGGAGCGGCAAACATCCGCACCTAGGCGTATCACCACACTCGCTGGTCCACAAAATACATCGACTAGGAGTTTTCACCAACAAAAAAGGGACGACGATTACGAACCCACTGAGTGGCATTGCCAGAGAGGCCACATTAGGAAGAAGCCAATGCAGCCCGACTCTCAGTTCACCAGTCGGCAACTGTACACAAACACACGCTGGGCTGACTGCGAGGCATGAGTCCTCCCATCAGTTGACAGTAATTCCAACTCGAGCCTTTTAGCGCACCGTGATAGATTCAAGCGCGTCAGAGGGCTTAGGATGAGGAATGTGCGCTGGGACTTTCGACCTCACTCTCTCACTTCCCTATTTAATGCACCAGTCCACTGTCCGAGCCGGCAAACTGGCTGGTGGCTGACAGGGCTGTAGACAGTTCGTCTACGCGGACCACACACCCTGCCTGGTTCCCAATACGCGCACAGCAGAAGTTCACGCACAAGTAGCTAGACCGCTTTTTTCCCACATGCATCATAGGGGCCACATGGAGGAGCACATTTATCGCTCACATGTGGGGTGCCGGTTGTGTGCGGCCGACGGTTCATCCTAGTGTTGATTAAACTAATTAATTGATGGATGCAAGTGGTGGGCTGACAAATTCAACAGAACAGTACTTGGCTTGCCTGATGGCTGCTTACCTTGTGACCCCTTCGGGGTTGTAGTCGGAGCCTGACCCTGGAGAAGACGAGGCGGCGATCCGCCCAGCCGATAGCTTTGGTCACCCACACGTCCTGTCGATCTCTCCTCCGGAAGAGAACATAGTCCAGCAGCTACCAGCGTCGTGACTGGGAGTTACATCCAGGCTGCTTTCGTCCACACAGGTAGGCCGAGGAGGGTGTTGGTCAGGAGGAGGTGGCGTTCTGATTAGGTTCGCAGGAGAAGGAAACCCTTGTCGTTGCAGCCAACGATCCCAGGAGGATCCCACACTCCTCTCCAGGCAGCTCGATCTGTCCTGACGCGGGCGTTGAAGTCAACAACGACAACCAGCTTGTCAGTCCTGAGCATAGTCACCAGAAGAGCATGCATTTCCTCGTAGGACTTGTTCTTTGCCTCATCAGAGTCTGTCATTGTGGGGAAGTAGAAACCGATGATAGTGGCAAGTTTGGCTCCCTGTAGAGCAGGCGGAGACTCATGAGGACAGTTGTCTCGCGATGTCGTTCCGGATGGCAAAGGCAACGCCTGCATCGCATCACCATGCCTTTGGGCGGCCGCTGCAGAAGAAGGTGTAGTCGGCACCTGCCGCCTTCAGATGGCCTTTTCCGGAGAAACGGTCCCACTGCGAGCAGCGATGTCCGTCTTGTAGCGCGCCAGTTCCTGACCGACTAGCGCCGTTCTCCGTTCTGGTCGACTGTTCCTCAGATTGTCCAAAGGAAAACGAACATAACTGACTGGCAGAATGAGAGGACCCATCATAGCAGCCTATGGGGGGGGGGGAGCGGGATGTATAGAAACGAGAGTAGTTGCTGTTTTTCGACTGCGAGTTTTGCATCTACGATCTGCGCTACACTTGTCGATGACGAGATTTTCCAGCATTTAATTAAGGCAACTTTCCTAGCCCCTTCCCCACCAGATTAAGCATTGCTGGCTTGTCTACGGGATTGCATGTTGCACTCTGCGAAGGATTTCGTGAAGTGCAGGTGGGGGGGGGAAGGGAATGAGAGAGGGAGGGAGAGGAGGGGAAGGAGGGATGGGAGTGGAAATTGCCGGTTGTGGAGGCACATAGCACCAGATAGCTTCATCTGGTTTAGCCCGCCTATCCAGTCTGTCATCGGGTGTGGCCGCTAGCCAGAGCCTAGATTTGGGGCGCCACAGATGAGAGTTAGGCGCCAGTTACGGGCCTTTAGGAGCAGTTGTTATTTGCCTGGTGCGACCCGGCCCATGTGCAAAAATGTCCCTGACTGGACACCGCTGCGCCCCTCTTACCAACCCACAATGAAGCTATTGATCTGTTTGAAAAAACAATTACCTCTGACACCCCTTTGTGGTTTGCACGTCTGGCTCTAGTGTCGCACAGTACAGAAAACCGTCAGAATGTCGTGAAAACTAACGCTGAGTGCAAGGGAATCGCTAACTTTATTAAATAATTGGCATTTACGTACTTAAAATATTTGGGACAATTTTATTAACACCCTGCCTGTGCAAGATAGTCTGCTTTATTTTCGATAATGCTTTTGGTTCTAACTAACACACAAACACGCAAATTAAGATTAGTCAAAGCAGACCACGATGACCACCGGACCATCTTGTCTCTCTGGTTGTTTGGTAAAAGACAATTCGTTCTTGTATATTCGGCACATGTTAATTGCGCAGAGTTTCAGGGGGTAGATCTGCGCAGATGTTTGAGTAAAAATAACACCTGCTTCATCAGTTTAGTAAGGTCGTACTCTTTCTCAAGCGGAACAGAAAAATATGTTTTTGTCTAAAAGTCGCAAAATTGCATCAGATCGGTTCAAGTTTCCCCATTAGCCGGCAGGCGTGTTCGGACGAAGAACAAAAAACAATTGGCAGCGGTAGGTGATACACGAGGATTTTGAGAATCTACATAATGTGTAAAACTCAAGTCCACAAGCCCGAGTTGTACTGCCTTTCCGTGATGAAACAGTTTCATGCCACGATATCCTCTAATAATTTTACAAGTGACATGTTGCCCAGAAAAAGTATTAATTCGTTGTTTAAAATATTGAGGAGGCTGGAGCTAGGCAGTCAGTTCAAAATTTATTTCGAAAGTGAATTACCAGCAACCCTTATGAAAATGACATTTAACCTAAAAATCCGTCTGATCTCCGAAAAGGCCATACTCTTTTCAACTCGTTCATTTTAAAATTGCGGTAAAAAATGTGTCCGTTTAATAAAAGTAACCAATCAAGACACACGTTTTTTGCAAATACACTGCAAATTTGTAAAATATACTTAGTACAGTTAAGTTGGTAATGCTGCAACCTCGGTTTTCGAAAAGTGTCCAAATGGACGGCTTTCTTCCAGTTTGAGCTAATAAAAAAAACTGCGAAAGGGAGTTAAACCTCTCCGCCCACCAAAAGGCTCTTCATTTTAATTACTAGCCCTCCTCCGTTAGTCGCGCCAGTGGTAGAAACTCCTGTCGACAAGTTTTATTCGCCTACCGGTAGGCAATTGCGCGCATACACTGGTTGTGACAGCATAAATTGTGCACAAGCCAATGCCATGCTGGACAGCGAGCTACCACCTCTGCTTTCGGATTCTGTCGGGTTCAAGGCTACTGTCCCATCCCCAACCGACCTCAGCTCAGGCCCGGGCACGTTGCCAAATGCCTTTCCGGGGTGAGAAGAGGGGC